CCCCAGGACTGACAAAAAGGGGGGGGGGGGGGGACTTGGAGCACAGCCGAGCAAGTGCAAGGCCCCGAGTTCAAATTCTAGTAACATACATACATACATACACACACACACATACAGGGTGTTAGACACCAGGACCCACCAGGAGTCCAGACTGCCGCCGAGAAGCCTGAGGAAGGGGAAGACGGGTCGGGAAGGGCGCACACCAGTCGGATGCGGGGAAGCGGGAGAAGCTGCAGAAAAATAACAGCGGAGTCACACCCAGGGCTGTGGGGTGATGGGAAAGTGGATCTTTCCAGAAACAAACGGGCCGCCGGGGCGGGGTCCGGGTGACTGGGGCCCGAGGGCGGGGAAGGGGGACAGGAGCCCCTGAGGACTGGGCAGAGCCTGGGCCCGGCCGGCATCTGTCCCTCCGTTGGCTTGGGGTCCGCATAAATCTAATCTCGAAGGAGGGAGGCGGGCGGGAGCGACCCCGCGGTGCGGACGCCCGGTACTGACGGGGCCCAGGTTACAGCCAAAGCGCAATGCGGACGAGAGGCCCCGTGGCCCAGGGACGCGGCGCCGGGAGGCCGGCCTGCGGACGACGCTGGGCCGCGGAGGGCGCCCTCATGCCGGGGAGTCACGCGAGCGCGCCCGGCCGGGGTCGCGCTCACTTTTGCCCCGCGCCAGACCCTGGGCCACTTCCGGGAAGTGGCGCCGCGCTGGGACGCCCGCCACTCAAAAGCATGGCCCGCCCGCTGGTTGCCCGAGCGACGACGCTCCGACCCATCCGGGTACCTGCCTCGCAAGCAGCGACCCCTCCCCATGGGCTACGCGTCCCGTGAGCCTGGGGAAAAGCAGGGCTCACTTTCAGAGCCCTTTCGCGACCGAGAGACGATCCATTCCTCTCGAGTCTCTGATGCCAAAGCAGCCCGGGTCTCTATCCCCGCCTCATTCTGTTTGCTCCCAATTCCCTACTCACCCGCGGCGACCCACCGAGCACATCGGCTCCTGCGCATGTGCAGAGCGGACCCAGCTCCTATTGGCTGAGGGAGAAATTTCCTGACCAATCAAACCCAGTACCTGCGCGGGCCCCGCCCCGGCTCCCAGGGGGCGGCTTCCGGCGTGCCGGCTCGCAGGTAACCGGCGGAGCATCCCGATACCCCGGGGTGGACCGTACGTGTTGCCTTGCTGCGAGGGCGGACGGCTGTGACCGGTGGGCAGCGGCCTCCAGCGCCAAGCAATTTATTTTCCCAGCGCCTGCCGCGAAAAGCTCGGCCCCGCGGGTTCTGGTGCGCCCTGCGGGGCTCCCGTGGATCGGGCGTTTGCCGGGAGGAACCGGGCGGGTGGGGAAGGCGGCAGGGCAAGGTCTCCTTCCTAGGACTCACCAGAAACCAGTTTCACCACCTGCCGAGCCGGGGCTCGGGACCTCTCCCCTCGGAACAGCCTGGCAGGCTCCTCGGCTCTCGAGCCTCCCGTCCTGCGGGAGGCTGCCATGTGGTTTTCTCCATGCGGTTGCTGTGGACTCTAGCCTGTTCTCATACTAGTGCATTTGTGTTACTTTGTCGGTCACGGGTCTTGGACTCTGGACCTGGGTGCTGTCCCTCAGTTCTATCAATTGAGGCATGGTGCCACTTCCGGCTTTTTGGTGGTTTATTGGAGATCAGAGTCTCACGGACTTTTTTTGCCCAGGCTGGCTTTGAACCGCGATCCTCACATCTCAGCCTCCTGAGTAGCCAGGATGACAGGCGTGAGCGCCACTGGCGTTCGGCTCATACTAGTGAATTTGTCTCACTATTTATTGCCTGAGGTGTGCGTGACGAGCGAAGTGTGATGCATGTTTGTTCTTAACTCTGGCCAGAAAAGTCTAGGGACAGCATTAGTCACTTCTTCAGGATTAAAATGGGTCAGCCACTAAGCGCCAGTGGCTCACGCCTGCAATCCTAACTACTCAGGAGGCCCAGATCTGCGAATTGTGGTTTAAAGCCAGCCCCACAGGAAAGTCTGTGAAAATCTTACCTCCAATTAAAAGCCAGAAGGGGCTGGGAAGGTGGCTCAGTGGTAGAGCGCTTGCCTTGCATGCCTGAGGCCCTGGGTTCGATTCCTCAGCACCACATAAGCAAAACAAAGAAAAAAGCCGGAAGTGGCGCTGTGGCTCAAGTGGTAGAGTGCTAGCCTTGAGCTGAAGAGCTGAGGGACAGCGCCCAGGCCCAGAGTTCAGGCCCCACGACCGGACCCCCCCCCCCCCAAAAAAAGCCAGAAGCAGAACTGTGGCTCAAGTAGTAGATACTAGCCTTGAGAAAAAGCTCAGGGATAGCATCCCAGACCAATAAGTTCAAGTCTCGGGACTGGCACAAAAAAAAAAAAAAAGGGAGAGAGGCAGCAAAAGGATACTTTTAGTGGCCAAAACATGGAATGGGAAGGAAGCTCAGGACATTGGGAGTAGATCAAGGAGCTAAAGGACAGGACAACAGGCCCAAGCAAAGGTGGGAGAAGAGCTCAACTGGAGGCTGGTGGTCAGACCAGGACAGTTCAGTCTGAAGTCTGACTCCAGAAACTCCTTTCCAAGGCACAGAAAAGGTTTCGTAGAATGTGGTTGTGGCACAATTTCAATAGATGCCTTTGATCCTGAATTCCATGGACTCTGCATATGTGTTACCATGGTAAGGTTAAGAGGTTTGCATTTCATAACTTTGCTATGGACAATGGTCCAGGGGTCTGCAGGGTAACAGGAAGCCCAGCTTGGATCTGCCCTTAAAGGGTTTTGCAGCTTAGCCCTTCTTACCAACCCTTACACAGCTTATGGGTCTTGCCCCACTGGTGAATGAGACTGATAGCATTATCTGTGTGCTCCTGAGTATAGGGTTTTCTTGGTAATGAGACTGTAACAATCATTGGACTGGAGTCAAACTTTCCAGGTGATCATACATGGCTACCCTCACTCTGCCTTAGCAGCAGACAGAACACAGGCTTACCTACCTGCCTCTGATCATCTGAATCCACAAAGATTCACTTCTGTGAAAGCTGCTGCTCCTACAGAGACCGACCCACCCTGCTGAGATATCTAAAACCTCTCTGGCCTATTACACATCTACTTTGTGGCATTTCATGGTGGAATTCAAATCCCTGAACCAGCCGGGTGCCATGGCTCACGCCTGTAATTCTAACTTCACAGGAGGCTTAGATCTGAGGATCATGGTTGAAAGCCAGCCTGGGCAGGAAACTCTATGAGACTCTTATCTCCAATAAACCATTTGGAAAACCAGAAGTGGTACTATGGCTCAAGAGGTAGAGCGCTCACCTTGAGCTGAAGAGCGCAGGGACAGTGCCCAAGCCCAGAGTTCAAGCCCCACAACTGACCCAAAAAAAGAAAATAAAACCTTTAGCTGGGTGCCCCTGGCTCATGCCTATTAACTCAGAGGAGGCTGAGATCTGGGGATCAAGGTTCAAAGCCAGCCCAGGCCTACAAATCCAGAGGCATTTTTTGTCGGTGGTGGAGGCTGAACTCTGGGCCTGGGCACTGTCCCTCAGCTCTTCACCTCAAGGCTAGTCCCTATCACTTGAGCCATAGCACATCTGGCTTTTTTCTACTTATGTGGTGCTGAGGAATCGAACCCAGAGCCTCATGCATACAAGGCAAGCAGTCTATCACTGAGCCACATTCCCAGCCTCCCAGAGACTCATCTCCAATTAACCAGCAGAAATCCAACTGGCTCAAGTAATTAAGAGTGCTGGTTATAATAGAAAAGGCTGAGCAAGAGAATGAGGACTAGTTCAAGTGCCAGTAGCTGCACCAAAAAAAAAAAAAAAAAAAAGCGGGGGTGGGGGGGGGAGTGGGGAGGGAGGAAGAAAAAGAAAGCTTTTGTCAGGAAGCCTCCCCTTTGAGCTAATTAAAACCTGACCCATGCCCAAGAGTTGAGAAAAGGCTGAGCCTGTGGACTTCCATACTCCCACACAAGAAATCACACCCTTTATCCATTCTGAGTTGTAAATGCTAATGTTTGTTTTCATCCTGGCCAAAAAACAAAACAAAACAAAAACATGTGATTCTGGGTCCAGACTGGATTGGACTTAAGGCTTAGTCTGCAGAAGACCTAGAAGGCTATGGGAGAGTAAACTGCCCTGTGCAGTCTTGGGTAATACTATTCAATTTTCTTTCAACCTAGGTGGGCACACAACCAAACTCAGCAAATGTGAACAGCCCCATCATATGTCCTCAAGTGATCATAACTACCTTGGATGTTAAGGTTCCTCAAGACACTGACCTGACAAGACTTGGACAATGGTGTGAAAGCAGCCCTCTTGATCAGGCAGTGCTGAAAGCCACGTATTCTTTTTTTTTCTTCTTTTTTTTTTGGAGGGGGGGCGTCTGGTTGTGTGGCCTGAACCCTGGGCCTGGGCACTGTCCCTCAGCTCTTCAGCTCAAGGCTAGCACTCTACCACTTGAGCCACAGCGCCACTTCTGGCCTTTTTCTTTTTGCTTATGTGGTGCTGAGGAATTGAACCCAGGGCCTCATGAATGCAAGGCAAGCGCTCTATCACTGAGCCACCTTCCCAACCCCATGAAAGCCACATATTCTTGTACCTTGATGGACTGCCACCTCCTAGGGGTCTGCTGCTATGGCACCAGGCTAGGCCTTCAAGGCAGAGAGCTGAGCTGACACGAGGACCTTCCCAGCACCTAGATCGGCCTGGCAGTGCATACACACTGGGCTCAATTGGGGTCATGCCTAGAAGGCTGTCTGTAAACACCACCCTCTGTGGCACAGATCCTCTTTTCAATTTCTTTCTTTGCTGGGGTGGGCTGGTTCTTGGACTTGAATTCAGGACCTGGGGCTATTCCTGAGCTTTCCAGCTTAAGGCTACTGCTCTACTACTTGAGCCACAGCTCGACTTGATTTGTTAGTTGCAGAGTTTCATGGACTTTCCTACCTGGGTTGGTTTTGAACTGCAGCCCTCAGATCTCAGCCTGAGTAGCTAGGATTCCAGGCATAGCTATTGGTGCCCAGCTCCATTTTATTTTTACTTCTTCCCAGAGAAGGGAGCTGGGACTCGGGGCACAACGTCTTGCCTGGAACCCAGCTTGAGAAGCCCTGGACAAGCAGAGGCCTGGAGTAGAGGATCTACCACGGTCCTGTGTGCAGGCAAATTCTTCTCGGTCGACTCGGCTGAAGCCGGACTCCCCTCCCGGTCACCCCAAGTCAGGAAACACTGAAGCGGCGTCCACATGCAGGGCTCTTGGTTGTGCTCCACCAGCTCGGCCCACAACGTCGCGTCCGCCTGAGTTCCGCGAGCCTGACTGAGACCTAGTCTCCCAGCCCGGGTTCGAGCAGTGACTGAGGACGGGACCTGCCGGTGCGCAGGCGCAGACGGCCCTCAGGACTTGGGTTAGGCGGAAGTCCGCGAGGGTTGGCATGGTGTTCTCAGGCCTCGGCGGGCTGGGGGGCCGCCTTCCCGCCAGCAGCCGGACCCGTGCAAGCCGGGGCCTCGGCCGCAGCTCCTGGGGGCCCGGGCCGGGGCCGGCGCGCGGGCTTCTCCCCGCTATGGATGCGCTGGTGGTGGAAGAGGGCGGGGCGCTCGCGGAAGGCGCGGCCGCACTGCGCGCAGGCAAAGGGCTTCTCGCCGGTGTGGATGCGCTGGTGGCTGAGCAGCACAGCGCCCTTGGCGAAGGCCTTGCCACAGTCAGCACAGCGGAAGGGCCGCTCGCCCGAGTGCAGCAGCTGGTGCTGCGTGAGGTTGGAGCTGTGGCTGAAGGCGCGGCCGCACTGCGCGCAGGCGAAGGGCTTCTCGCCGGTGTGCACGCGTTGGTGCTTGAAGAGCGAGGAGCCCTGGCTGAAGGCGGCGCCGCAGAGCGCGCATGCGTACGGCTTCTCGCCCGTATGTGTGCGCTCGTGCTGGATCAGGTGCGAGTTGCGGCAGAAGCGGCGGCCGCAGCGCGCGCAGGCGTAGGGCCGGCCGCCCGCGTGGATCTTGCGGTGCTGGCTGAGGTTGGAGCCATGGCTGAAGGCCTTGCCGCAGTCCCCGCAGCGGAAGGCCTTCTCAGCTGTGTGGATGCGCTGGTGCCGCACCAGCGACGAGCTGTGGCGGAAGGCCTTGCCGCAGGCCGCGCATGCATACGGTGTCTCCCCGCTGTGGATGCGCTGGTGCTGTGTCAGGTGCGAGGTCTGGCTGAAGGCCTTGCCGCACTGCGCGCATGCATACGGCCGCTCACCGGTGTGCGTGCGCAGGTGCTTGAGCAGGTCCGAGCTCTTGACGAACACCTTGCTGCACGCGCGGCACTCGAAAGGCTTCTCCCCCGCGGCGAGGAGCCCAGGTCCAGCCCGCAGCGCCTCCTCCCCGGTGGCCAGGAGCCCCGGCCCGGCCCGCAGAGCCTCGTCCAGCGCTGCCCAGCCCGGGGCCTCGGCCCAGGCTGCGCCTGCACACATGTCCCCGAGGACGGGGACCGGGACGGGCTGGAAGGCGCCCTCGGGGCCCTGGGTGCCCAGCCTGGGCCGCCGGGCCCTCCGAGGCCGCCGGCCCGGCGTGCGACCGCCCGCCAGGACCTTGGGCCTGGTTGGGCCACCCTCGGGGGGCTTCTGCGGGGAGGTCAGCCGTAGACCCACGTCCTCCTCGTGGCCTGCACCTGGCAGCAGCCGCTCCCAGTAGATGACCGACACCCCAGCAGGCCGTCTCCCAGGGGGTGGGGAGGCCCGAGCAGCGGAGCCATTCCCTCGAGTTCCCCCAATGCTGTGTGGGAAGACATGAGGAAGGTCTGCTAGTCCAGAAGGTTTGTCCTCCACCGGAGAACGGGCACCTGGAGTCGGAGGGAGAGAAAAGAGGGGTTGGGGTCACCCGAACGCACCAGGTGAGCAGGCGTATGGAGGCCTGGTGGAGGCAGGGGCCCTAGGAGGTCCAGGCTGGCCAGGCAGTGAACCGGCCAGGAGCACGTGCTGCCTCTCTGCACCTGGTTCCCACTCAGCCCACCTGCGCCACATGGGGACAGCAGCGCCTACACACCACCCGTGCCTCCGCACCAGTGCACACCCCCCACACCACAGGGGATAGCAACCCCTGCACCCCGGGCTTGCACACCAGTGCCCACAGCAACCCCTACATATCACCTGGGCCTCCACACCAGCGCCCACTCGCGCCACAGGGAGACAGCAACGCCTGCATCCTGGGCCTGCACACCAGTACCCACAGCAACCCCTGCACGCCACCTGGGCCTGCACATCCCCGGGTCCTCCGCGCCTGCACCCACACCCGTGCCACATGGGGACAGAAACCCCTGCACGCCCCCCGGGCCTCAGTGCCAGCGCTCACAGCAACCCCTGCATGCCACCCAGGCCTCCACATCGGTGGTCTCATCTTCCCCCACCAAGCCCAGTGCTCACTCCAGCTTTTCTCCTTGTTCTGATCTTAACTGAGTCTATGGGCTACTTGTGAATCCCGTTTTCTACCTCTCCTGCTGGGGCAGATCCACAGCAAGACAAACGTTTCCTGGCCATGCTGTATCCAAGAGCCCAGTCAACACTTGAACACAAAGGAGGAAGGGAGGAAAGAACAGACTCACAAGCATGTGCAGGAGCTACGTGGAGGAGCCGCGGAGCCCAGCCACAGCTGCTTCTCACCAAGTTTGCTTGTGAACCCAGCCTTTGTGCCCTGGAACAGTACGGGAGCAGCCAGGCTCCCACATCCAGTGCAGGCTGATGAAGGAAGAGTGGGAAGTGGGAGGCAAGGGGATGTCTGTGGAGCCAGGACTCACCGAGGCTGTGCCTCTCATCGGTGCTGCCAGCCAGACTTGTATCCATCTCACTAAGAACCCAGGGTTCCTCCCCACGCTGGATCAGGACAACCACACGAGGTCGGGAGGCAGACAGACCTGGGAGGGAGGTGATCAAGTAAGCAGCCAGCCCCAGCTCAAGTCAGCCCACTTCCCAATAGATGGCAGCAATCAGGGAATATCAGTGCTGGGTGTGCAGCCAGGAAAACCCAAAAGTCAAATGCAGAGGGCACTCATTAGTGGCCCCTAGGTTGGTAGCACCAAAGGAAGGGGACTGGGACAGGCACAGAAAAATGCAGCCAGACAGCACCAAGGAAATACAGGAAATGGTTAAGCGAGGTTAAGCCAGACTGCACATCTCCAAGCCCTCCCCCCATCCCAACTTCACAGCCTCAGGGCACAAGGTTCTGCTCACAGCAAGGCTGTGAAGGAGGGGAGCAGCAGGGATGCCCCAGAGATTTACCCAGTGACGTCACAAGGGCAAAGTTCTCCAGCATCACATGGCGGTACAAGGCCTTCTGCGTGGTGTCCAGGAGCAGCCACTCTTCCCAGGAGAAATACACTGCCACATCCTCAAAGGTCATCAGGCTCTGTAACAGGCAGGGGAGAGCATCGAAGAATGACCAAGGGCTCAGTTCCCAGTCCTGATGGCCATTTCCCCCTGGTGCCTCTTGGATACTCATTCTCCTTCCCTCATCTACCCTGACTGTCTTCAGATGGCACTTCTGCTACTACTCTGTGTCTCCTTCTCCTTACCTCTACCTCCATATACAGACAACAGATGCTAGCTCGGCTTCCTTGCTGCCCACTTTACACAAGAAAGAGCAAGCATAAAACCCTTGGCTGGAGACAAATGCCTAAGTCCCAACTCTGGGTCCCCAGGTCATGTCCATCCCTAGGATTCTCCACTGCTGTGCCTGCCTAACATTTCAAAGCTGGTCCTTCAGAGACTGGATAAGCTGCACCAGCTTTCACAGGGAACTGACCCTGAGGACCTGGTGAATATAAAGTCAAGCCTTCCCTTTCTCACAGCTCCCTATTTCCACTCTACTGAACAGGCCCATGAGATCATCCCTTCTTCTGTCCAATTTCTAGACCCATCTCTGGGATAGGATACTAAAACCTTGTAAGCCGCACATCTACAATTTTAGGTCCACCAACCCCTCCACACTACTACATCACAGATTCTTGATCTTTTCCCTGAAAGAAACCTCCTTTCCTTTCCAATTACTATTTCTGTCGACAGCAACTCCATTCTTCCAGGTGCTAAGGCTGAAAAACTTGAGAAGGTTTTTCACTCACAGTGCTGGCTCAGCCCCCACGTGACACAACAGCAAATCTACCTATACTTCTACCATCTCCATCCACCACTGCTCTTCTGGTTTAGAGGTCACTATTACTTGTACGGTAGCAGTACCTTCCTCCTTTATAGGACAGCTCCCCATCCCATAAGTATTCTCCACTCAGTAGGAAGTGGTAGGCCTTTAAAATACCGAAAAAGCCAGGCATGGTGACAAATGCCTGTAATTATACTACCTAACTAAAGGTAGACATCAGAAGAATTGAGGTTCAAAGCTAGCCTGGGCCGGTGAGGAGGGTGGGAATCAAATTCCATCTCAGCTGACAAGCTAGGTGTAGTGATAGTCAAACAAGATCCAAGATACAGAGAATCAAGGTCTGAGGCTAGCCCAGGGGGTAAAATCCTGAGACTCAGTCTGAAAAAATAGCTAGTGATAAAGCACTCACCTAGCAAAAACAATGACCCGAGTCGAAACCCAATACTACCAAAAAAAGAAGTCCTAACTGGGTGGTGTCAATTTCCAGTCGCCCCTCCCGGGCACCCATGTCCCTGCTGCTTGTGCCCTCAGACGTGTCCACAGCTCCGCATCTCCGTGCTCTGCCTCAGTGGCGGCCAGCGCACGTGAGCCGTCCTTCCAGACCACGCCCCGCTGGGCGCCCCGCGGGTCCCAGCCCCCGACCCTGGCTGCAGGCTCGGCAAGCACCGCCTCTCGCCCCGGGGCAGCCGGAGGGCTGGGCGGGCTTCGGGCTCTCGTTCTCGGGAGGGTCCCCGTACTCACCCTCGGAGGATCGGTCACCGCCCTCGCCGCGGCCATCGGAGCCGCCACGGCACCCGCGGCCGGGTGATCCGCCACGGCCTCAGTCTCCCCGTCTGCCAGGGGCGCAGGCCCCAGGGGAGAGTGGTGGGACTGCGGCGGGGGCTAAGGAGCACGTGGCTGCCAGCCCGGCCAGACGGCCCCGCCGGGAAGCCGAGACGCACGGTTCCGACCAGCCGGCGCCTCGAAGCGGGCGCTCCGCCGCCGCCTCCCTCGGGGCCCTCCAGCCGGGTCCCCAGAACCTCCTGGAAAGCCGGCCCAGCCCCTCGTGCTACCGCCGACCAACTGTACAGTCTGATGTCCTGCAGCAAAGTGACAGTCCCAAATGCCGGAAGTCCCGCCCTCCGGCCCTCACTGGCCCAATAGAGGCGGCGGGCGCTCGCGCAAGGCCTTCTGGGCAGCGTAGTTCCTCTTTGCCTTTCCACGAGCCCGGAAGTAACTTCATGGTCCCTATGGCAACGGCCAAGCGTCCCTTCCCGCGTGACAGAGCCTGCCCCTCGCACCGCTTCCCGCCTGCCCGGCGGGCGAGCAGATTTAGGTTCTCGAGTTCCCGCGCCCATCAGAGCGGGCACAGACTCAACCCTGATGCGCCGAGTGGAAACTTTCAGAGTCCAGGAGGTGACCCCGGGCAGGGAGGACCACGGAGACAAAGGAAGGGAAAAGTTTGCGTCCAGAGACAGCAACATACTGGCGCCTAACTACTCAGGAGGAAAACTGAGGACGGCGGTTCGAAGTCGGTCCGGGCAGGAAATCCAAGGACCCTGAGCTCCAGTTTAACCAGCAGAGAAGCCAGAAGGAGAGCCGTGGCTCAGCCTCAAGTGAAAGAGCCAGGGGAGGGCTGGGAAGGTGGCTCAGTGGTAGAGCGCTTACCTTGCATGCATGAAGCCCTGGGTTCGATTCCTCGGCACCACATAAGCAGGAAAAAAAAAGGTGGCGGAAGTGGCGCTGTGGCTCAAGTGGTAGAGCGCTAGCCTTGAGCTGAAGAGCTGAGGGACAGTGCACAGGCCCAGAGTTCAAGCCCCACGACCAGACCAAAAAAAAAAAAAGCCAGGGGACAGGGCCAGAGTGCAGCCCTCAGTACACACACAGACAGACACATAGACACACAGACAGACACATGGACAGACACATAGATATCACAGATACATACACAGATACATACACAGACACACACAGACACACACAAAATAAACAGGAACTTTTTGTTTAAACCAGGCTATGGTTATTTTATAATGAAGCTCCAAGAAGATGCAGGATAGTGAAGTTTGGACTGCTGCTATAGAAACGCACTTGAAATAGTGCAGTGTTGGCATTTGAGACACATCCACATTTATAAGGACTGTGGGTTAGACCAGAAGAAAGGCACATCCACACTGCCGTTGAGGACTTTAGAGTGATACTGAGTCCATTCGGTGGCAGAAT